ACAGAGCAGAGCTGGAGGAAGGGGCTCTCAAAGCCCCCAGCCCAAACTGGGCAGTGCCCAGTCCCAAACTGGAACCTCCAAGCCCAGCCTCTGGCAGAACAGGAAACACCTGCCCTGCCCAGCCAAACTGAATAAAACAAACCAAACCACACATTTCACAAAATAAATCCTCTCCTCCTTCTGTTTCTTTAAACCTGAGCTGACCTCGGGGAGGCTCCAGCAGCAGAACCAGGAGCTGCTCTGCCCTGTCCTGTTCTGGCCACAGCTCTGACCATTCCCTGTCCCATTGTGGCCACAGCACTGACCATTCCTGTTCTGGCCACAGCACTGACCATTCCCTGTCCCATTGTGGCCACAGCACTGACCATTCCTTTCCCACAGCATTGACCATTCCTGTTCTGGCCACAGCACTGACCATTCCCTGTCCCATTGTGGCCACAGCACTGACCATTCTTGTTCTGGCCACAGCACTGACCATTCCCTGTCCCAGCCATGGCCACAGCACTGACCATTCTTGTTCTGGCCACAGCACTGGCCATTCCCTGTCCCACAGCACTGAACCATTCCCAGCCCTGTGTGACGAGCCCGACCCAGTCCCACTCCAGGGGCAATTCCCACTCCAGGGGCAGCTCCCTTACCTGGCTCCCTCTCACCTTCTCATTCCCTCCAGAGCTCCTTCAGTTCTGCTTTCCCTCCTCACGCAGATCCCTTGGGGCTGATTCCCAGTTTACTCCTCATTAATAAACACCAATTACTTGGGGAGCCTTGATTAAGAAATTATTCCACTCTGCCTGAACGCATTGAGCCAATAACCCTGGGACCTCCAGGTGCTGGCAATAACCCCCAGCAGTGTCCAGGGAAGGGTTGCAGATTTCCCAGTTTTGTCCAAGGGGGTTGAAGCACCTTCAGGGCTCCCTGTGATGGTTTAAATCTCCCTGTGCCCAGCCCCGAGCCTCAGCTCCCCAAAATGTGTCCCACATCTGGACACATCTGGATGGGAGATCCTGGGCTCACTCTGCACCCAGCCCCAGCAGGATTCAGGATTCACCCACCAGGCTGTGAGCACTCCCAATGGCACAGGGGGCACAGAGCAGCTCAGCTGGATAGGACCAGACTCTTCATCCCCTTCTCCCCACCTTCCTTTGTCCCTGTCCCTTTCTCTTGGGTAATTGCTGCCCCGAGATGTGCAGGATGTCTCTGTGTGAGAACTGAAGAACGAGTCTGGACTCTTCACTTTTCGGTCTTGAGGTTGTTTATTAATTCTTATCTATAAAATTTTCTTTCTGCCCAGTCGAGATCTGCTCAGCAGGGCAGCCACAGGCACTCTGACCACCCTTAGGGTGGTGTTGTCCTTTTATACTACAAACTACATATTTACAATATTACAGAATAACATATTTACACTTAATGCCCAATACCTATCACCTATGTTAGACAGTGCACTTCTACTCTAAACCAATCCCAAAATGACAACATCACTGCAGAAAATGGAGAACAAGAAGGAGGAGGAGAAGAAGGACAGCACATGCCCACATTCCTCCATCATGCCTCCTGAACCCCCATTCTAAAAACCCCAAAATTCTACATTTTCACCCTGTGATTAATTCACTACCATTCTACTCAAACTCTTGTGGCTTGTAACTCCTCACACAAAGCTGGCGATTGTTTCCAGCCCTTGGGGTGGTGTTAGTTTTTTATACTAAAAGCTACGTGTACAATATTTACACTTAATGCCCAATACCTATCACCTATGTTAGACAGTGAGCTTCTACTCTAAACCTGTCCCAAAGTGCCAACATCACTGCAGAAAATGGAGACCAAGAAGAAGAAGAAGAAAGGCTGGACACACCCAGATTCCTCCATCTTGTCCCCACAACCTTCATACCAAAAATCCTAAAATCTACATTTTCACCCTGTGATCATTTTATTATTATACTATTGAAACCTCTGTGACTTTCAGGTCCTCATACAAAGCTGGTAACTTGCTCCAGGGGTCAAAATCAAATCCCCAGGTGCTCTGGGCTGTGTGCCAGGGTCTCTGAGCCCTGTGGAGGGGTCCTGGCAACTCTGGACACTCAGAGGGATGTGCTGAATTCCGACACCTTTCCAGCAGGATTTCTGTGCAGCCAGGAAGGCTCCCTGGTTTGGGGAGCAGCCCATCCCAAACGGAACCAAATACCTGGCCAAGGAGGAGCACCGAGAACATCAGGAAGGGCAGGACCTGCCTGAGTCAGCTCAGCCTCTCCTGGGGCAGGGGCAGGAATGAGGGGCAGATGCTGAGCTGGGGACAGGTCCTCCCTTCTTCGGGAGCCACAGGATCCTTCCCTACAAACCCCAGAATGCCCAGGAGCAGCACCACGGGCACTGAAACCAGGGTCCCCCAGAGTGTCCCCCTCCCACCTGGGCCCTCTGCTCACCCCGTGGGCCAACGGCAGCTTCAGCCTTGAAAGGAGAGGCTGAATCCTCTTCCGACACATCCCGTGTCGCCTGCAAGTCAAACCCATCCTGCTGGAAGGACACAGCACTTGGAAAACCCTCATCCATCTCAGAGCAGAGTGGCTCCAGTGATCCCAGTGAAAAATAGTGTTCCATGCTGCTTGTCCCAAGAATGAAAGGCAGTTTTCATCCTGAACCATCATCCTGCTGCACCTTTCTGTGGCAGAGGGAGTTTGGGCCCATCTCCGGCATCTAATCATGGAATTATGGAAGGGTTTGGCTGGGAAGGGACCTCAAAGCTCATCCCATTCCACACCCTTCCACTATTCATGGTGCTCTAAGCCCTATCCTTGGACACTTCCAGGGATGGGGAGGATGTGGGACACCGGACATGATGCTGTGCAGGAATCATCCAGATCCATTTGGATCCCATCACCTGGAGAGGCTTCCTGGGCCACTGTGCACTGGGAGATGCTCTTGGAGCCAAACTTGTTCCCATGGGCTGGACCTAGGCTTGGAAACTTCATTTCATGGAAGAAAAAGGAGGGAAAGAACTGATCCTTGGAGGAGAAAGGAGCAGGGATTGGTGCTCAGACAGGTGGGATGAGCTGGGACCATGAAAGATCCCACCAGGGTCAGAGCAGACACTGCTCCCAGGCTCTGCTGCACCAAAGTGCCCTCACTCCACCTGCCCCTGCTTCCCTTAGAGGGACTGAGCCTTCCCAGGGCTGCCCTGAGTGCCTTCAGCACCTCCAGCAGCCCCAGGGCCAAGGTGACCCTGACCTGGTGCCCGTTGGGGTCCCATCCATGCCTGCAGCCACAGAGCCACCAGAGAAACCCACCAGGAAGGGATCATGTCACCCACAGAGCAGGAGCCACAAGCTATGGCTGCTTCCAGCCAGGAATTTGGGCTTAATCATTAAAATAAACCATCAGGATTACTGTGAGAAGTTCTGCCAAGGACCCACTGAGTGAGTGACCTGGTGTTCAAGTGCATTTTCCCTGGAGAGGATGTTTGGGGAAGGTGGACAGGGGAAAACACCCCATTCCTGGCAATATATTGCAATTCCACCTGAAGGAAAGGCCAGCCCCTTCGCTGGGAATCCTTCCCAAACTAGAGCTGCTCCTCAGCAGATGGTTCTTGTCAGAGCACAGATTCAACCTCTCCTTCCCTCACCTCCCTTGGAAGGGAAACTCCAGCGTGGAGCAGCAGCTTTCCCACAGAATGGAAATTGGGATGGCCAGAGAAGAACATCCCCGTCCCCCTTCCCAAGGATGCCACAAAGCAAGGCACAGATGGGAGTTCTTCTTTCCCAGGCTTTGCAGGAGAAACAGAGCCAAAGCAGGAAACCACATCCAGGGTTTGCACCAAACAGGGATTTAAGGGTGGGACACCAGAGCTCATTGAAATTCAGAGGGGTTTTGTATCCAGCTTTTATAGGGCTTTTGGGCAGTGGGAAAGTCAAAGATGGACTTGGGCACCTGAGATCTGCCTTGGGTCCAGAGGTTTAGAGGGTCTCTGGTGCTGCCAGAGCAGATGAATTAATAACCTCAGCACTCTTGGCCCACTCCCAGGGGTCTCAAACCCAGGCCTATCCTCCCTAAACCAGACCTATCTTCCCTAAAGCCAGACCTACCATTTCTAAAAACAGATTTATCATCCCCGAACCCAGATCTATTATCCATAAACTAGACCTGACATCCCTAAAACCAGAACTATTATCCATAAACTAGACCTAGCATCCCTGAAACCAGAACTATTATCCATAAACTAGACCTGACATCCCTAAAACCAGACCTGTTATCCATAAACTAGACCTGATATCCTTAAAACCAGACCTATCCTCTGTAAAACACCCAAGCACCAGGCTCTTCCCTGCTGTGCCCATGTGGAGCTCCAGCCACACCAAGCTTGGGATGCATTTCCCAAGTCTTTCTTTAGCCAATTCAGACTCTTTATGGTTTTAAACACTCCTGAAAAGAAAAGAAAAGAAAAGAAAAGAAAAGAAAAGAAAAGAAAAGAAAAGAAAAGAAAAGAGGAAGAAAGTATCACTGCTCCTTTCTGAAAATTTGGGCTGGAAAGCAGCCAGGGGCTGATGCCGGCTCCGTGTGCCAAGTCTCTGTGCAGAGCTGTGCCTGGAGCAGTCCTTCCCAAGCCTGGCACCTCCAATTCCTTTCCTCACCTTTTAAGGATGAGGGAGGCAGCTGCTGGGGGCTGGCATTACCTGGGAGGGTTTGTTTTTGCTGTCAGGGCCTGAGTCTTCCTCACACAAACAAGCTCCTGAAGAAAAGAGGGAGCAGACAGAGGAGGGAATAAGAAGAAGAAAAAAAAACAACATAGAAAGAAGAAAAAAAAAAAGCCAACAGGTTGATCTGGATTTCCATCAAGGGTTCCACCCTCCTCCGTTTAATGAACATCGCAGAACAGGTGCTTGGAATTCATTAGCAGCCACAAGCGCAGCAGACGGAACCGCGCCGGCCCCGCCGCTCCTCTCTCGGAGGCAGCAGCAGCCGCAAACCTTCAGCACTTCCCCGCCTCTCCCTCCCCCGGAGCCAGCCCGGCCATGACCAACCCCAGCTCTGCCTTCTCCAGCGGCTCTCTGTGCTCCGGGGAGGCGGCGGCGAGGATGAGCCGGGGCCGGGCCGCCGGGAGCCCGAGCCCGGAGCGCCGCAGCCCCGACGGCGGCACCAGCGACGGGCCCGGCTCGCTGGGCAGCGACGGGCCCGGCTCGCTTGGCAGCGGCTCCCCGGGCAGCCTGCGCTGCTCGCCCTTCCCCGGCCTGGGCCGGCTGCCGCCCCCCGTGCGCCTGGACATCGACACCGAGTTCCAGGCCGTGCGGCAGCAGGAGAAGGAGGACATCAAAGTGCTCAACAACCAGTTCGTGACCCTCATCGAGAAGGTAGGGACTGGGGTGGGGAGGGGCTCGGGGACCACCCCGGCGAGGCTGGCACATCCGGCTAATTAGTTATTAGCCCAATTAGTTATTCCTTCCGAGCTCTCTGTCTGATGGGGGTTAGGGAGCATCCCTGGGGGAGGCGCGGCCGGGGCTGTGCTGTCACCCCGGACAGCTCCTGGGCACCCCCAGAGCAGCCCCGGCAGGGTCCTGGGGGCACCGTGGTCAGGAGACACCATGGGCAGGAGGCCTTGGCTCCCGGAGTGGCCAAACAGCCACGGGCAGTGACGCTGAGTATGGCGGCAGCTCCAATTCTAGCTGCTGAAGAGAGCTGGGAACTCATCCCTGCAAACTCATCCCCACCTCCACCTGGGCCGTGTGGGGAGCCGGGGGACCCCCCAGCCACTGCCTCAGAGCTTCTGAGGAGAGAGGCCAAGAAAGAGCTGCTTTCATCTCTGCGGAGCTGGGAGAAGCAGAAGTTTCTCCAAGGAAAACAACTCCCAGAGCAGGCAGGTTCCTGCAGAGCCCTGCTCCGTAAACAGATGTAATCTCTGGGATTGCTTCATGCAGCTCTCCCTGCCAGCCTCCAGCAGCCCGGGATTGATTCATTTCAGCACTGCGAGGACCTGAATTCACACAGAAGGCCATGGGAACATCTGCAGTGGATCTCTCCAAAAAGGACAGCTGTGGCCAGTCACACCTGGCACGGTCAGCAGGGCCCAGCCTGGCTCTGGTGGATGGGCACAGCCTCCTCCTGTGAGCCTGTCCAAGCCTGTGGCATTGGGAATTTGGAGAGCATTGGGAAGCACCCAGCCTGTAGAGGCTGGAATTTGGACTGTCCGGGTGGAGAGGTTTGGGTTTGCTGGGCCCTCAGAGCAGGGATGGGAGGAAGGGAAAGGCACAAAACCCCACGTGCCTGAGCCAGGCCTGTTCCCTGGCACCAGGGAGGGAAGAGCTGAGAGTTCCAGGTTTCCCAACAAACCCAACCCAGCGGCCTCCTGATCCTGATCCGTGTGGATCCTGGCATAGGGACACCCCCTGGGCCAGGGGCTCAGGGACACAAACACCCCTTGGGCCCAGGTCTCTGACTGCAGCTCCTGAGCTCCTTTGAAGACTTCAAGAGCTGCATCAGGGCTTCAAGAGCTGCATCAAGTGGCAGCTTCAGGCACCTGCCCCAGGCCCTCATTCCAGAGGAAGGGAATGGCACTTCCTTGTCAAAGAGAACCTGGCTTTGTAATCAGGGATTCAGATGTTCTCAATCCCCAGCAGGTGATTCTGAGGATAATTGACCACACAGCTACAGGAGTTTGGTGCTGGAGTTTTTCCAGCTGTTACAGATCTGCTGGTTTTTATTTTCCAGACAGATGGAAAAGAAGACAGGGAAAAGCCAAGCCCTGGAGCCCCTGTTTGAGCCCCAGAGGGGAGGGTCTGTGGGGACCAAACTTTGGCCACTTGTGTGTTCAGGCATGGAATTCCAGGGAATGAGGCCAAATCTGGGTGATCCCTCTGCAAAGCTCCTGCAAAGGCTCTGCAAGGGGGGATTTCCACTGAGGGAGACATTGCAGGAGTCACAGAATCATGGAATGGTTTGGGTCAGGAGGAACCTTTAGGATCATCCAGTTCCAAGCAGATGTTGGAAGCCAAGATGGAACGAGTTGAGCGCAGGGATGGTTTGCTAACAGGAATGTGAGAGATAAAAGGAACAGCTGAGGATTAGGAAGGAGGTCAGGAATTAATTAAAGGTCGAAGATGGACCTGGAGCAACAGCCAACACAACCCATTCTCATCCCAGGGGGGAAGGATGAAGTCTCCAAGAGTGAGACCTGGAACATCCCAACACTCCCGTCCCTTCTGCTGGAAGCTCCCAAGCACTGGAATGGTTCTGCTTTGCTTGGCTGCTCTCTCTGTTCAGACAGGAAGCATTTGGAGAAAGATGGTGCCACATCTGGGTCAGCAGCTGGAATTCTGCCTCTTCTTTGGACCCCAGGCCAAGGCTGGAGGTCTGATGGCTCCTGCTGCCAGTGCTCCCAGTATGGCATTGGCCCTGAGTCATCCCGGAATGCAACACAGGAAACTTGGAGGCAACTCTGGCATCTCCAGCCAAAACGTGACTGGGGCTGCTCCCAGAGGTAGCAATTAGCCAATTAATTGGAGTTGGCCAAGACCTTTGAAGATGAGAACTGTTAAACTTGGAGTGTTACTGGTGAGATTGGGAATATTGGGAAAGAGGAGCAGGTTCCTCAAAGGCGGGCGGTGGAAGGGCAGCGTTGTCCTCTCAGAGCCAGCACAGGGAGCTCACCTGGAGTCTGTAATTACCTGGGATGTTCTCCAGAGCTTTGTCTGAGCTGCTCTGCAATAAACCTGATTCATTTCCCTGAACCTCTCCATGCTGTAATCCCTGGCAGTTCAGAGGGTTCCCTCTCTTTGTGCTCTCTGGGGTAGGAAATCTGCCCTTCCCTGACCCTGGACATCCCTGCGTGACCTGGGGTGGATCTGCAGCCTTGGCTTCACCAAGCTGGACTCAACACCTGATCTGGTGATGCTGGAGGTTTTTCCAGTAGCCCATTGTGACACACAGAAGGGACAGAACTGACCATTCCTATGGTCAGTGGCTCCTGTATTTTGATGTCACTATGTTTATTCCAATGTCACTGTGTTTATTTTGAGGTCATCGTGTTCTATTGAGAAATAATTAGTGGGTAATGTGTAAAACACCTAGAAGTCCCCTAAAAGAGGAAGGTGTCCCTGCCTATGGCAAGGGATGGACCTGGGTGATCTTTAAATCCCTTCCAAACCCAAACCATTCCATGATTCCATAACCCTCCATCCTCAGGCCTAGTTTGAAGACATTTCTCATTCTTCCCTGGAAATCTGCTGGTTCTGAAGGTCTCCAACATCTCCTGCCCTGCCATGCTTTGATTGTGGCCCTCAGTGTCACTGACGCCTCTGAAACCTCTCCCGTAGGTCCAGAGCTTGGAGCAGCAGAACAAGATCCTGACAACCAGGTGGAACTTCCTGAAGGACCAGGACAATTCCCACTCTGACTCGGACATCAAGGCCATCTATGAGCAGTATGTGAGCAAAATGAACCAGGAGATGAAGGCGCTCAACTTCGAGCAGGAGAACCTGGAGTCAGAGCTGGCGAAGGTGCTGAGCACCATGGACGCCTTCCGGAGCAAGTAGGTGTCCCTGTCCCTCTGTCTGTCCATAGCCAGGGGGATTCAGCTGGGAGCAGCCCTGTGGGATTGAGTTAACTCAGCCAGCCTGAGATGCCCAGGAACATATTCCTGCTTTGGTGTGCACACAAGGATGGATTTGGGAATTTAGGGTCACAGCTGGTAATGAGAGGTGAAAGGAAAGCTGGAATAGGGAAATTCCAAGGAGAGCGGGGTCTGAGAGGAGCCTCTGCCAGAGAACAACTCGGGGAACGGCATTGCTGGAGTGACAGCCATGAAACCAGAGAATGTTTATTCTCCACAAAATTAGCACAAGCCAGAACTTTGTCCTCAAAGTGATTTCTGGACCAGCCTACTCTGTACAAAAACAATGCTCCTGGCTACATGGTGGGAATTTTGGGGTGTTCTGGGCAGGGCCAGGAGTTGGATTTGATGATCCCTGTGGTGTCTTCCAGCTCAGGATATTCATCCTCACATAATGGGTTAGGAGGGACCTTTAGAATCACCCAATGCCACCCTTGCCATGGGCAGGGACACCTTCCACTCAAAGCCCTGTCCAGCCTTGGGCACTTCCAGGGATCCAGGGGCAGCCACAGGGAAATCCATTCCAGGGCCTCCCCACCCTCACAGGGAGGGATTCCTTTGTAAAGAAGCAATATTCTATTCCATGACTGTGGGATCTCCTCCTTTCCCCCTTCTGCCAAACTCTGCTTTGACCAAAAGGTCAAAATTGTGCCCCAAATGGTCCTGACCAAGAACAGGGAGGCAGCCAAAGGTCGGGGAGCTGCAGCTGCCTCTTATCTCTGGGGAGCTCCTCTTATCTCTGGAGATGAGCAGATAAGACAGAGCAGCTGGGCCATGCCCGGTCACAGGGGAGCAGACAATGCCTCCCTCATTATGGGGCTCATTTGCATCCCACAGGAGAATCCCAAATGAGCTCCTTTCCCTCCCACTGGCACCCAGCACCTTCCTGGAGCTCTGGAGGCTCCCATGGGGATCTGGGCTGTGCAGGGACTGTCCAACCCAAAGTGGTGCCCAGGGACTGGGGGGGGGGCAGAAATCCCTGCTGGGATCCAAACCCACTCCTGAGGTGAGGCACAAACTCCCCAAGATGTTCAGTCCAAGGATTCTCCAGCTCCTTAAGCCCTGCTCCAGGTGGCTGCAATTTAGGGAAGGGCTGTCAGCTCCTTCTAACACAGACACAGCAGTGAAATGCCTTAATCAGCTCAGAGCAGGTCGGAATCATGGGATCACTCATCTTGGAAAAGCCCTTGGAGATCACCAGGTCCATCCATCAACCCCCTACCACTGCAGTCACTACCGACCCCATGTCCCCAGGTGTCACCTCCACAGGGTATTGGACACTTCACAAGGTGGGGACTCCCTGGGCAGCTGTGCCAGGCCTGCACAACCCTTTCCATGGAAATTTTTCCAAATATCCAACTTAAACCTCCTCTGATGGAATTTGAAGCTGCTTTTCCCTTGTTCCCTGGGAGTGGATCCTGAATCCCACCTGGCTGTCCCCTCCTGTCAGGAGTTGTGCAGAGCCACAAGGTCCCCCCTGAGCCTCCTTTGCTCCAGGCTCAGCCCTCCCAGGTCCCTCAGGAGCTCTCCAGACCCTTCCCTGGTGCTCCAGCCCTTCCCCAGCTCCATTCCCATCCCTGGACTCTCTCCAGACCCTCAGGGTCTTTCTTGTGAGGTACCCAAAGCCCAGGACTCCAGGAGCCTCAGCAGTGCCAAGGACAGGGAGTGTTGTGAGGAATTTGACAGGAGTTTGATTCTTCACCTTACACTGAAATCATCCTCCCAGGAGGTCTTCAAATGACGCCCTGAATTGCCTAAAAATCCTAAATTCCTCATGGGAGGTGCCTGCCTGCTGTTCATTTAGGGAATGCAAAGGTCAGGAGCTGCCATCCCTGCAGGGAGCACCTGGCCCTTCCCCGAGGAAGCAGAATCCCAGACTGGGATGGGATTTTTGGGATTTTGGGTGGGAAGGGACCCTGACACAGACAGGGACACTTCCACTCTCCCAGGGTGTCCCCAGCCCTAGGACACTTCAGGGATGGGGCAGCCCTAGTCTGTGCTCAGATCTGCGCTCAGGAATTGCGGCAGGAATTCCCAGCTCCTGACACTCCAGGGTTTTCCAACCCGATTTCTTAGGGATGAAGGTGCTGCCCAAGGGTTCTCCCCGTTGGATTTCTTGTGACTTTCCCAGTGACTTGGACAATGGGATAGGACACAATTGGGGTGCTTCATCCCTCAGAACTGATTCACAGGGAGAGAATTCCCAGGCCCCATCCAGCCCTGGCCCAGCCCAGGGGCATTTCTGGAGCAAATCTCTGCACAAACCAGGCAAATCCAGGAGGTTTCTTTTCCCCAGGGAATTCTGGGGGAGGAAAAACAAAGAACCAGTTGGATTTCCCACTGGAGTTGTGCCCTCAGCCAGGCTGTGGCATTCTGGATGGAACACCCCAAATCCTCCAGGATGGGAAATGTGCCTGGGGGAGTCCCCCCATGAGGCCCTGAATTCACCCTGAGTCAGGGACTGCTTTCCAAACCCACCTGGATGGGACCCCCTGGAAAACTCCCACCTTCTCCTCAAAGGAGTCTGCCATGGAGCAGCAATTCCAGAGGGATGGACAGAGAGAGGGATGGATGGATGGATTGTGACCGTGTTCACAGGAGTCTAAGGATGAGGGAAGAGATGAGGATTTGACTCCATGTTTCAGAAGGCTTGATTTATTATTTTATGATATATATTATATTAAAACTGTACTAAAAGAATAGAAGAAAGGATTTCATCAGAAGGCAAGCTAAGAATAGAAAAGCAAAGAATGATAACAAAGGCTCTGTCTCAGACAGAGAGTCCAAGCCAGCTGGGCTGTGATTGGCCATTAATTAGAAACAACCACATGAGACCAATCACAGATCCACCTGTTGCATTCCACAGCAGCAGATAATCAATGTTTACATATTGTTTCTAAGGCCTCTCAGCTTCTCAGGAGGAAAATCCTAAGGAAAGGATTTTTCATAAAAGATGTCTGTGATGGATGGATGGATGGATGGATGGATGGATGGATGGAGAGGGGACAGGCACATCCAGGAGGGAGTACAGCCTGCCTGAGAGCTGCTTCCCTGGATTCTGCTCCATGGAAGGAGCCCGGGGCCAGCAGACGCCGTCTCAAGTGTGCCAAGTGCAGCAAGGGCTGGGTTTGCCCTCCCGCAGTGCCCCGGGATCACCTCCCGCAGATGAAGGCTGGGATGTGCCTGTGGAATGCTCCAGCCCCAGCCTGGGGTGAGTCACGGGCCTGGAGCGTGGCAGGAGCGCGTTGGGCCGGCTGGGGCGGCTCTGGGGCAGCTCTGCTCTGCTGGGAGTGGGGTTCTGCCAGGGCCTGGGGTGGGGAGAGACTGGGACAGAGTGGGAGAGACTGGGACAGACTGGGGCACACTGGGAGGGACTTGGATAGACTGGGAGAGACTGGGGTGCGCTGGGACAGAGTGGGAGAGACTGGGAAACATTGGGAGAGACTGGTACAGAGTGGGATGCACTGGAAGAGACTGGGACACTCTGGGGCACACTGGGACAGAGTAGGAGAGACTGGGAAACATCAGGAGAGACTGGGGCACACTGGGATACATTGGGACAGCCTGGGACAGACCAGGGCACACTGGGATGCACTGGGACAGACTGGAGCACACTGGGGCAGAGTGGGAGAGACTGGGGCACACTGGGACAGATTGGGACACATTGGGATACACTGGGACAGCTTGGGGCATACTGGGATACACCGGGACACACTGGGACAGCCTGAGAGAGATTGGGAGAGACTGTGACAGAGTGGGGTATACTGGGCCTGAGCTGAGTGTGAGGAGGCGGAAGGGGGGCTGCAGACAGACACTGAGCTTGGCACAGAGGGGCTGCAGACAGGCACTGAGCTTGGCCTGGCACAGGGGGCTGCAGACAGACACTGAGCTTGGCCATTCCAGCATTCCAGGCTCACATCCCAGGTGAGGAGCACAGCCCAGACAGGTAAATCCCATCAGCCCCTGCTGCCCAGCCTTGGAAAGGCAGGGAAGGAGAGGGCGAGTTCAGCACCGAGGAGGACTCAGGAGGAGCCCCAGGAGTGCCCAAAGCCGTGACTGTCACACACCCCATCCCTCACTGTCCCCTTGTGAGGGAGCTGCTCTGGATAATCCCAGCTCAGCTCCTGAGCACGGCTTCCCCCCTTTCCCAGCATCTGCTCCCCATTCCCACACTCTGTACATGGCAGGGAAGGCTCCCAAAAACCTTCTGGGCTCCTGAGAACCCTTGACTGGATGCTTCAGACCCCAAACAGCAGCACAGGGCTGCATTCCTGATGTTCCTCTCCTCAGTCTCTTGGGAGACCCCATTTTCCCGTTTTATCTCGTTCCCAAAGCTCTCAGCTCCCCTTAGGCCCATTTGGTGACTGGCATTAGGTTCATTTGCTGGTGTCCCAGCAGCACTGAAAGTCTGAGCTCACAGCTGGAAATGGGGGGCACTTTGGGGCCTCTTCCACCAAGAGGGACCCCGAGGGGCTGCAGTGTGACCAGAGCTGGGGATGGATGGAGCTGGGGAAGGGCTGAAGAGCTCCTGAGGGCCCTGGGGGGCTCAGCCTGGAGCAAAGAAGGCTCGGGGGGACCTGGTGGCTCTGCACACCTTCTGACAGGAGGGGACAGCCAGGGGGCTCGGGCTGTGTTCCCAGGGAACAGCAGGACAAGGGAAGTGGCCTCAGGCTGTGCCAGGGGAGGTTTAGTTGGATATTGGGGGAAATTCCTCACTGGAAAGGTGTCCAGGCACTGGCACAGCCGCTCAGGGCAGGGGTGCAGCCACCAGAGCTGTGTGGCACTTGGGGACATGGTCAGGGCTGGCCCTGGTGGTGCCGGGGGATCAGTTGGACTCGATGCTCTCCAAGGGCTTTTCCAATCTTAGTGATTCCATGGAATGTCATGTGCCCCTTAGGCTGAGGAGCCTGAGGGAAGAGCAGGGGAGCCTGGAGCTCCCTGAGAGCTCAGCCTGCTCTGATCCATCACTCCCAGCGCTCCCACCCCTGTCCAGCTGCTGGGGGAGACACCCACCCCTCCCATGGCTCTGCTCTGACCCAGCTCTGCTGGGCCCAAAATGGACCCTGTGCCTTTCCTGGGGTTTGGGAACACCACACCCCTGTCCCAGGAGCCAGCAAGGGTTGGAGCATTCCCCGATTCCCACTCATATCCATTTGCCCCTGGACTGAGGCTTTGCTCCTGGCCCTGCCCTGTCCCACCTGGACTCAAACACAGGGACACCCAGGACTCCCCCCCATTCCTGGTTTGATTTCCTTCCACTCCATGGGCAGTTTTCCATTAATTCCTTTGCCTGTGTGCCTTCACAAATCACCTGGGCTGAGTTATGACACCAGTCCAGAATTCTCAGAATTGCCACAAGCCAAAGTTTTCTCCCTTGGGAAGACTCCGACACAGGAAGTCCTCAATTTCACCCCAAACATTTTCTGTTCTGCTCATGGAAAAGGTTTGGGCTGAAATTGAGGAGTTTGGGCTGAGCCCCATCCCCACCCCTGTCCCTCATCCCTTTGTGAAGAACCTGAGGCTGCCCAGCCCCCAGGTGAAATCCCAGTTAAAGCTCCCTCCTCTCTGCTCTGGGATTCTTCATCCCCAAAGTGCTCCTGGTGTTCCAGGGCAGCTGGAATGGGGCAGCTTCTTCTCACTCAATGCCTCAAGGAGGGGGGACAAGCAGGAAAAGCAGAAAGTTGGGATACTTTGGGGGTCTGAAGACAACTCTCAGTTTCCCTGTGGTTGATGCCATGCTGTGGGTGCTCTGCAGGTACGAGGATGAAATTCGCCTCTGCAGCGGGATGGAATTCACCTTCATGGAGCTCAAAAAGGTCAGCAGGAGGGGAAGGGCAATTTCCCACTGGATTGGCTCTGCCCAGCCCTGCACAGCCAGGGGAGGGCCTGGAGGTGATCCAGGCTCAGCTGGTTTGGGATAACAAGGTCTGGAGGAGGACAGGGAGGGGATGAGTCCCAATTCCACAGGAGGGTGAGTCTGGAGGGGCTCCTGAAAATCCCCTGGCACACCTGGGGATCAGAGCATCCCCATCCCTGCACCCTGGGATTTCCTGGTCACTGTCCCCGTCCCCTATCCTGGGATTTCCGAGTCACTGTCCTCATCCCTGCTCCTGGGATTTCCAGGTCAGAGCATCCCCATCCCCTATCCTGGGGTTTCCGGGTCACTGTGCCCCTCCCTGCATCCTGGGGTTTCCCTGGCCTGAGGGTTCCAAGCCCTTCCCCGGCTGCCCCCTCCTCCCCATGTTCCCTCCGGGTGCATTAGGGTTGGGAAAGGCTGGAACTGATAAAGGATTTAAAGGATTTCCTTTGTTCCCTGCGGAGGGGCCACGCCCTGGGCAAACACCGGGCAAAGCTCCCACTCCAGCAGGAGCCAGTGGGAATCAGCTGGAATTGGGATTTTATATCAAAACCCCCAATTTGGGGGCAGGATAAGGGTGTTGGAGAGAGGGAATGTTCCCACAAATATCCATCCTGGCTAATTCTGTGTTTTCCTTTGCAAACTCACCAGAAAGGGCATTCCCAGACACTTCCATGGGTGGCTCCCAAGTTTGCAATAAGTGGAGCCTTTTGTGGGGAACAAAAGTTGGGAGGCGATGGCCCAGCCCTGCCTGGCCCTTCCACCAAGTCCCACAAAACAAAGGCAAGAGGTTCTCAAAGGAGCCTCCCCAGCTGGAGAGCAGCTCCAGACATCCCTGTTAATAAATCTGGGCATGGGTTGGGAGGGAAGGAGCTCATCCCATGGGCAGAGACTCCTTCCCTGTCCACAGTGCTCCAAGCCCTGTCCAGCATGTCTGAACTCCCTGGGATGGGGAGCAGTGGGAATGACTGGCTGTAAATCCAGGTGTGGACTGATGAATCCCTTTCCATCCCTGGTGAATCCCTTTCCATCCCTGCAGGATTTGGATGTGAGCACCTTGCACCGCACGGAGCTGGAGGTGAAGCTCAAAGGGCTCCAGGAGCTGCTGGAGCTGAAGAAAACCATCTATGAGCAGGTGGGAGCACACACAATATGGGAAATGGCATTTTGGGGACAGAGCCTGGATTTCCACCCGCATGGGGGCTGGCCAGGGTGTCACAGCCATCCCAGTGCTCAGGCAGGACATGAGGAGTTGACCCCTCCCCTAAAAACAACATTGGAATGGGACCAGAACATTGCTTCTGCCCCAGAGCCTCTGCAGGGGCCTGGAATTCCAACCTCATCCCAAAGTGGCTGTTTAGGATGAGGCTGGAATTCCAATGGGGTTTGCCCCAGATGAGGATGAGGTTGGAATGGATGGGGTTTGTCCCAGAGCTCGGCCCAGGTGAGCCAAATGTTCAGACTCCAGGAAGAACCCAAGCCCCAGGGCACCTGGAGAACCTGGGTGCTCTGAAACACATTCCAGCCTCCTCCTATCCCAGGAAAACCAGGGGTCCCCAGCCAGGAATGACTGCAGCCAGGGGGAAGGGCCTCCTTCAGAACACTGACTCAGGCCTGGAAAATGTCATCCAGCAGGATCAACAGTGTGGGAACACTCAGGATTTATCTAAATTCCAGCAATCCAAACAATTACGGTGCCTGGTGGAGGAGTATGAACATTCCATGTGGGAAACTGAGGCACGGAGAGGCTGGTGCTGCCTCCCAGCAAAACTGCCCAGGGAGCCTGATCTGCTCTAAAATGAGATTATTCCTCATGCAAGGCAATTTTAGCCCAGTTTTTTTGGAAATCAGGCCCTGCTCCAGGGTCTCCACCGGATTTCCCATGGGTCCCATAAAAAGCTGCATTTTTTAACCCCTAATTAATGTAAAAATCTCATCCCCAACCTATCCTGTCTCACCTTCTCTGTGGATTCGATGACATCAGGTACAGGCACATTCCCAGGGGGAGAGAAAATGAAGTAAACTTTCCTTGTTGGGATGGATCAAGAGAAAGTAATTTATTAATTCTCATTAATAAATGACTAGTTTGGGGGTTTTATTCACCAAATGATCTGATATTCCAAATAAACACAAATTTTCTCACCTGCTCCAAGATTAACAAAGAAACTCAGGGATTAAACAGCAGTGGGATAAAATCTCCCAATCATCCTGGTTTTTGGGGTGCGTCTGTGTTATCCCTCAGCCACAGAGCCCTTTGTGAGCCCAGCCAGGGAAGGGAAGGGATCAAGGAACACAATTCCTGCTCCAAAGGGACCTGAGCACAAAGGGAAGAACAAAGGAGAGGGAGAGGGGAAGGAATTCCTGGTGCAAAGCAGGAGCTGGGCCTGAGATAAGGGAGCAACAAGCCTGGGTCCAAAGCTGGGTCCAGGGGCCCTTCCAGGCTCAGGGAGGGGAATTTGCAGCTGTATTTTCCCCAGAGCAGATATCCTGGTGGGCTGTAATCCCAGGGGTGCTCCTGCCTCCCTCCACACTGCCATTCCCAGGACAGAGGAGTGGAGCAGCCTGGCTGTGCACAGGGAAGGCTCCTGGTTCCCTGAGGAGCCCTAAATCAGGCTCTGGCATCACAAGGAGCAGCCCCAGCCCTGCTGGATCCCACAGCAGAGCTTGGAGAGGGCATTTTCCAGCCTCCCCAGGCTGTGGCACTCCACACTGCCTTTGTTTTCCCAAAACTCTCCCATTTGGCCTGGATATCAGTGGGTATTGATCCATGATCGTCAGCTCCAGCCCTGCTCCTGGGGAACGACCAACTGGACAAGAGGAAATGCCAGGGGAAGTTTAGGTTGGATATTGGGGAAAATTCCTTCCTGGAAAGGGCTGTCCAGCCCTGGCATAGCTGGGGTGAAGTGCCCATCCCTGGAAGTGCCCAAGGAATGTGTGGATGTGGCACTTGGGGACACGGTCCGGGGTGGCCTTGGCACTGCTGAGGAACAGGTGGAATCCAGTGATCCTACAGGTCTTTTCCAGCCTTAAGGATCCCAGGATCCTCCCTGCTCCTGGACTAGTCCAAAGGCACTGTTTTGTCAGATTTTACCAGTTTGTATCCAAAGATCCCAAACCCCAACTTAAGCTGAGTATGGATTTTGTGGAGCAAATAATACCAGGTTCCCAACTCCAGAGAGTGAAAACTTGGGAATTGTCCCCCTCTCCACATGGAAGCTGTTCTGCCAAGCACAACCCACCTGGAGCTCTCTCTGACTGCTGGGAATCTTGGATATGACCAGATCCTGGGAAGAAGTTCTTCCCTGTGAGGGTGGGGAGGCCTTGGAATGGATTCCCCAGGGAAGCTGTGGCTGCTCCATCCCTGGCAGTGTCCCAGGCCAGGCTGGACGGGGCTGGAGCAGCCTGGGACAGTGGGAGGTGTCCCTGCCATGGCAGGGCTGGGATGGGCTTTGCTGTTCTTCCCACCCAAACTATTCCATGAATCTCCAGCTCCGTGTTCTCTCCCCTGTTGCCCTGTGGCTCTGCAGGAGCTGGAGGAGTTGCTGACGGAAATCAAGGACATCTCCGTGGTGCTGGGGATCGACAGCTGCTCCCGGCCGGACCTGGGCAGGATCGTGGAGGACGTCAGGGCCCAGTACGAGGCTCTGGCCCTGCGCAGCTGGGAGGAGGCCGAGGCACTCACCCGGAGGAAGGTACCAGATCCCTGCTCTGTGCCGGGAGAGGACAGGAGGGATTGGCCTGGAGACAGCTGGGATGGCAGGGATGGGCTGGGAATGGAGGGAGGGACAAGGCACTATCTGTGATCACTGTCCAGACAGTAAATCCGGAGTTTTGTTACTCTGGGCTTTCCACACTGGAGGAACCCAGCACATCTCCCAGTGGAGATGGAAATGTCCTTCCAGCTCTCCAAGGAGCAGGAATGTGACTGGTCCCAGAGCCAGGTGAGCCTGGCACAGCCAGAGAGGATGGGAACAAGCCCCAGACCTTTCCCCAGTAATCCAGTGATGCCAGGGCACCAGATCCAGACCACAGCCAGAGAGGACAGGAATGAGCCTCAGATCTTAGCCCAGGTAATCCAGGTGATGCCAGGGCCACAGCCAGAGAGGATGGGAACGAGCCCCAGAGCGTTGCCCAGGTAACTCAGGTGATGCCAGGACACCTGTCCCTCTCTCCACAGCTCACTGACAGCAGCTCCCAGCCCGGCTCCTTCGGGGGGCACCTCCTGGACAGCCGGAGGGAAATCGCGGATCTGAACATCCGCATCCAGAAACTGCGCTCCTGCATCGTGTCCCAGAAGAGCCAGGTGAGTGCTGCGGGGGATAAAAGGACAGGTGTGACCTGGGATAATGGGACAGGTGAGTCCTGGGGGGGATAATGGGACATGTGTGGGGTGGGATAATGGGACAGGTGTGGGATGGAAATAATGGGACAGGTGTGACCTGGGTGGGATAACAGGACAGGTGTGACCTGGGATAACAGGACAGGTGTATGCTGGGGTAGAAATAATGGGACAGGTGTGTGCTGGGTGGGATAATGGAACAGGTGTGGGGTGGGATAACAGGACAGGTGTGTGCTGGGATAATGGGACAGGTGTGACCTGGGGGGGATAATGGGCCAGGTGTGTGCTGGGGGAAACAACCAGACAGGTGTGTGCTGGGGGGGATAACGGCACAGGTGTGTGCTGGGGGGGATAAGGGGACATGTGTGTCCTGGGTGGGATAACAGGACAAGTGTGTGCTGGGGGGATAACGGGACAGGTGTGTCATGGGATAATGGCACAGGTGTGTGCTGGGGTGGGAATAATGGGACAGGTGTGACCTGGAGGGGGAATAAGGGGACAGGTTTGTGCTGGGATAATGGGACAGGTGTCTTCTGGGATGGGATAACGGGACAGGTGAGTCCAGGGGGGGATAAAGGGACAGGTGTGTGTTGGGATGGGATAACAGGACAGGTGTGTGCTGGGGTGGGAATAACGGGACAGGTGTGACCTGGGTGGGATAACGGGACAGGGGTGTCCTAAGGTGGGATAAAGGGACAGGTGTCTGCTGGGTGGATAAAGGGACAGGTGTGTCCTAGGGTGGGATAACAGGAGAGGGGTGTGCTGGGATAACGGGACAGGTGTGTGCCGGGTGGGATAACAGGACATGGTGGAATTCCCTGTCCCAAGCCCCCTCACTCCCTCTCCCCCTCCCCAGTGCCTGTACCTGGAGGAGCACATCCGCGAGGCTGGCGAGCAGGGGGAGGGGACCCTGAGGGACGCCAAGGCCAAGGTGGCCGGGCTGGAGGAGGCCCTGCAGCGCAGCAGGGAGCACATGGCTCACCTGGTCCGCGAGTACCAGGAGCTCATGAACATCAAACTGGCCCTGGACGTGGAGATCCTCACCTACAGGAAGCTTGTGGAAGGGGAGGAGAACAGGTGAGCCACGATTCCTCTGCCTCAGGTGGGGAGGGGATGCACCAGGACACCTGGGGGGATGGAGACATCATGAAATCATGGAATGCTTTGGAAGCCAGTCCCACCCCTGCCATGGGCAGGGACACCTCCCATGGGCAGGGACTCGTCCCAAAGCCCAGCTTGCCCAAATCCCAAGTTCTGAGGCGGGTGCTGAAGGTTTGGTCAAAGAAGGGGCAAATCATGGTGGCTCCCAGCAGTTCAATCTCATTTCTTGCTCCCGAGTCTTCCTCAGACTCCCCAGGCTGAGGGTCCAGACCCTCTCCAGGAGTTTTCCCAGGGGCTGCTGAAGCCCATCCTGGTCCTACCACCATCCCAAGTCCCCCAGGCCAAACCCCAGCCCTTCCCACCCCTCTGGGAGAGCTCCAGCCCTGTCCTCACTCTGTGTCCTTCCCTTCCCAGCATGGAGCAGCCCATCCCCACCATCATCAGCGCCGTCCACTCCCGGCCCAGGCCTCGTAAGTGCTCTGATCCCCCTGCTCCAGGGAACGGGCGAATGCATGGGAGGGTTTTAACCTCTCCCCTTGTGTCAGTTTCTGCCAGCACCCTGCGGAACTCGCGGCTCTTTGCGCGGGGCTCGGGGGAGCCCAGCGGGGGCGGCCCCGGGAGGGACCCGGACGCTGCGGGGGCTGCGGACACCGGGACCCGGCCCAAGCTCGGCGCCGGGGCCCCCGGGGAGTGCTCCTAGGAGATGGATGGACGCGGAGCCCAAGCACCTGGGAAGCTCCTCCTCCTCAACTCCAGCCCCCTGCAAGGGATGAAGGATGGGGGTCCTGTCCAGGCCGTCCCTTGGCTTTCCACCATCCCAGTTCACAGCTCCATTCCCAGTTACAGCAGGAACCACCCCAGCACTTTAGGGACTCTCCCATTCCCTTCTCCTTCCTCTCCAGGGCCCCCTTCCCTGGGGATTTGCAGTCACCCCTTGGAATGTGCCCAGCAGGAGGGAAGTGTCCCTACCCCAGCTTTAGCAGCTGCCATTGGTCCCTTTACTGCTGTTGCCAAACCCTTTCCTTGCTCTGACAGGGATTCTAAGGAAAGCACCATCCAAATTCCACACTGAGGCAGAGGGAGGAAAACAACCCCAGGGATGGATTTGTCACCAGGATTGACAGATCTGGTGACACCCTGGGGCACCCTTGGCCACCTCAGGGCATTCCCTGGCTTCAGAGAGCCCCTCATTCCTTCAGCAAAGCTAAAATGCCTCAAAACTCTTGATTCCCATAATCCCTCCCTCTCTCCAGGCTCCACACAGCAGTTCCAGCTCCTAAAGTTGGGGTATTTAAGTTGGTTCCTATTAAACTGCACTGGGAACAGGCTGGTTGGGGTTGGGAGGGACCTCAAAGCTCATCCCATCCCACCCCTGCCATGGGCAGTGACACTTTCCACTGTCCCAGGTTGCTCCAAGCTCCATCCAGCCTGGCCTTGGGCACTGCCAGGGATCCAGGGACAGCCACAGCTGCTCTGGAAAATCCATTCCAGGGCCTCACTATCCTCCTAGGGAAGAATTTCCTTCCTAAAATCGAATCCAAATCCTCCCTCTTTCAGCCCGGAGCTGGAAAACTCCCTTGCCTTCATATTTATTGACCTCAGCTTGTACCTGACCCCGCTGCCCCCATGGGCCAATCCCAATCCCGATGCTCCAGAGCTCCCAGAGCCAGCCCTGGAAGGGCCAGGTGGCCACAGGTGGGGGATGCTGTGGCCTCTTCCCAACCTCACCCACAATCCTGCAGTATTTTCCTTCCTGGCCCCAGCCACTGCCACTAAGCCCCCCCGAATTCCCAGATTCTGGGTCCCCATTCCCACGTTCCCGTAGGATAGGAAGCACAGCTCTGGCTCACGGGGTTTGGCTGTCACAATAAAGTTCTGCCACTCAGAATCTGTCCTGTCCTTGGTTTTCTCTCAGCCTCTGGAGCAGCAGCTCCCTCCCAGCAGGACTCACCTGGCTGGGTCCTGGCAGCCAGGTGAGGCTGGAATCACCTCCTGAGGATTGGAATGCTGAATGGCACAGACCCGGGAGGAGGATGAATCCTTAAAACCCAAAATCATGGACAAAGACCCTCTAGACAAAGTTAGAAAGTGGTAAATCATCATTCAAGGGCAGGGGGCCAGAGGGGCAGACACGGGGTGGGATCCAAGGCCTTGGGACCAAATTTGGGAATGAGGGGAACACACACAGCACTGCTCAGCTTCCCCTTCCCAAACTCCTCCTGCCCCTCTCCAAAGGGGGATTCCTGCACACCTGGGCAGGTCCGTCCTGGGCACCCACATTTTCCTGCAGCCCTGCATTCCAGAGGTGCCCTTTTGGATCACAGGTGCTCCCTGTTCCCCTGGGGGACTTCCCTGGGAGATCCAAAGGGCCCCCAAGGTGCCAGAGAACCCAAATTTGGGAGCTGCTTTCCAGGTCCAGGGCAGGGGATGGGAGGCAGAGGATGGGAAGGACATTCCAGAGCACAGGAAAGAGTTCAATGCAGTTTCCCAGCCTGGTAGGATGGGGAATTGGGGGGCTCTGAGCAGTTTGCAGTAACTCCCAGTTGGGCAGGGTTGGTGCAGGGCTGCCTCTGGAGCCAGGAACCTGCAGAGCCCTTGGGAAAAGCCCTTGGGAAGAGCCCTTGGGGAAGAGCCCTTCCCAGGCAGAGGAACAAAAATGGGGCTCAGAGCAGCCCCATTGCCAGGACAGCAGCAGGGACAGGGCTGGGGCTGTCTGGGATGAGGCTGGAATGGGAACCTGGGACACCCCAGCTGGGAGAACCCAGGGAGGGCTGGGGCTCAGCTGAGACTTTAATGCTGCTTTTCCTCCCTGACCTTGGAATTTGGGGATCTTTTTGCTGTTTCTGAGCCTTCTCCACCCACGGGATTGGGAGAAATCCCCGAGGCCACAGCAGGGGATTAAAGGGTTGGTTGGAGATTTGGGATTTTGGCCGCACTCCTGGGCTCAGGTCCCCGTTCTGGGACAGACCCAACCCAGCATTGCCCTGTGCCACTGCTCCCAGCCCCAGCTCCCTCAGAGGGCACCAGGGAATGGCTCCATGCAGCAGAATCCCTGCCCTCCATCAAGGGGAGCTGAGCTGAGCTCTGCCTGGGATGATCCTTGACTTTGGGAGGCCCATCCTGCCCCTCCACCATCCCCCCTCCCTGGGACCCAGCCTCTTCCTCAGGGCAAATTCCCGTGGCTGCTCTCATCCCAGAGTCACAACCAGCCCCAGTTCCAGCTGTAAATTCCACAGGGAATTGCTGCAGGCTCCAGGCAGCACCATCAGCTCAGGACCCCCCAAAAAATCCCCATCCCAGCCTTCAAAAAAGGTCCTGGCTGCACCCCTGTGTTGTCCAGATCAGTGCGGTCAATCCAGAATAATACACACTGGATTTACCTTTATTCAGAGATAGAATGTGAAAAAAAGGGGAACAGAGAAGGATGCAGTGATGAAGGGCAGCCCCAGCATTGTCATGTCCCTGGTTTTGGCTCAAAATACCACAAAATCCCACCTGGCTGCTTCCTAAAATTTCCCAAGGACTGAAAGGATCCTGAATTTGGTTGGGGGGTGGTGGGGGAAGTTGATGGAAAAGCTCAGGTTTTCTGGAAAAAGGGATGCTTGTGTGATGGTTAGAGGGTGCTTGGGGGGGTGGAGGCATTGCTCACCTTCTCAGATCCATGTAAAAAATGGATCAGGGCCTGAGGATTGCTGGTAAAACAGAGTTAGGGATTGTAATTAACTAATAAATGGGATAATTAACAGCATTCCCCCCTTTATGGCTCAATAGTGGTGTTTTATGGCCAGTTCCGGTGATCCCCTTTAATCACTCACCCCTGTGGTGCCAGGGCACATTCCCTACGGGGATTTGGGAGCTGCTGAGGGCATCTGTGGGATCAGGGATAATTATCCCTCTTATCTGCCAGGCCCCTCAGGAATCCACGGCCCAGCCCCCTCAAGGCCGTGCCGTATCAGCTCCAGCCGCTCCCAAGGGTGATCCCATCCCCGCCTGGAGCCTCTGCAGGACCGGACACGTCAGATGTCCTGGAGGTCTCGGACGTGAGACATCCCAGGGGCGAATCCTGGGCTGCGGGGATGTCGGGAAGAGCAGCAGGGAATGAGCCCCGGAGGCCGGAGCACGGGGGGGAAGCGGCTCCGGGAGCGCATCCCGGGATGGGCGCACCTGGAGCGGGTCAGGAGCGAGCTCCGGGCTCCGGGAGCCCATCCCGGGATCCGCGCACCTGGAGCGAGCTCCGGGCTCTTGGTGAACATCCCGGGATCTGCACACCTGCAGCGAGCTCCGGGCTCCCTCTGCCGGGCAGGTGACGCCGCTGCAGCGCCTCCCCAAATCCCCAAAAATTCCCGGCCGCCTTCCACAGGTCCGGCCTGCAGAGAAAGGGACACGGCTCCCGAGGAGCGAGGAACAGGGGATCCTAAAGGAGACCCCACAGGGAATCATACAAGGAATCCTACACGGAATCTAAAGGAGACCTTACAGGCAATCCTGCAGGGAATCCACACAGAATCCTACAGGGGATCCTACATGGGACCCTAGAGGGGACCCTACAAGGAATCCTACAGGGAATCCACATGGGAATCCTACAGGAGATCCTACAGGGGACTCTACAGGGAATCTACACAGGGAATCCTACACGGGACCCTACAGGAAATCCTACATGGGATCTTACAGGGAATCCTACAGGGGACCCCACTGCCCAGAGCAGCTGTGGCTGCCCCATCCCTGGCTGGGCTGGACGGGGCTTGGAGCACCCTGGGATGGTGGGACCTGTCCCTGCCCACTGCTTTAGGGTCTCTTCCCCCTGAACCATTCCCTGGTTCTGTGATCCAAAAGGGCATTTCTCATCCACCAGGAGCTCCCATCCAGGTGGGAATGGCTCCTGGGATCCAGCTGGGAATGACTCCTGGGATCCAGCCTGGCTGTTCCATTGCTCCCACACTCCTGGAATCACTCTGGGAAGGTGAAACAGCTCCCAAGGTGAGGAACTCATCCCTGCATCTGATCCCACCTGGATCTGTCACCTTCCCTCTCTGGGCTGGGGTACCACCCGTCTCTGGCTGTGCTGAAACATCCCCAGATCCTTTCTAACTCCACTTTTTTGTCCTCTAAGGGCCAAATCCTCCAGGAACACACCCAAAACATCTTTATCAGGGAAAAACCCCTTTTCCCATCTGGAATCCCAGCTCACAGCCCCTCTGCTCCCCAGGAAACAGCTCCAGGGGGGAGCATTCCTGGTTTTCTTCCACCTCTCCTCCCTTCCCCAGTGGGTTTAGGGAGGCACCCTCAGTCTGGGAGCAGCCAGGCCTTGTCCCAGTCCTTCCCAGGGCCTGGAGAAACCCAGCACCAGCTGAGTCCTGCTCAGCCCCAGAGGGGAGCCAAACCCCCCTAACATGTGCCATGGGGTTAAATGTGTGGGAAGGGAGCTGGAAATGTCCTGGCACGGGGAACTGATGGCCTGGGGCTCTCACTGCAGCTCCAAACGTGATTTAATCCACCCATCCCAGTTCTCCCACAGCTGCTCCCCCAGTTCCAGCCAACCCCTGGCGTGACTCCAGTGGCACAGGAGGAGGGAGATGGATGCTCCAGGCCCTCCCCTGGCCTGGCACAGCTGTTTGCAGGGATGGAAGTGGCTCTCCCCAGGAAATCAGCCATTGGGAAAAGGAGCTTCCCCACTCTGGGGAAAAGACAGGGGTGGATTTC